GTCGGGGTACAGATTCTACATGTAGCGGAGCTACACAGCCCTTGAGCTTCTAGAGGAAGACTTAACGCTCTACGAGCAATTTAGTTCTAAAGAAACTAACGACTTTACGAGTCAACAAGCTTTATAGCTTCAGATCCCTGTTCCAGGGGACCAACGATTCGTAATCGACAGCACTTAGTGCTCTCTGCGAGCAGCTACCTCAAGGAGGTGTCGCTAACTCTTGTAGTGATCGCATCACCGATCACATGCCTGCAAGCCACGTGTGTCTTTCAGATCAAAATGGGAACTGATTCTCTTATTTTTGTTGGAAGCCTATAGAATATCTTTAATCCTACTCAAAGATCTTTCGTATCTAATGGCTGACACTCGTCAGCCTCTACAAAACCGATAAGATATTCTATATCACCTTCACAGAAGGAACCCTCAGGTGTGTGTAACACCTCTGGTACAAAGTACTACGACTCGTGCAACCCCGTTACACCCTCCCCCACCAGACTGACGCTCTGCCAAAACGTCAATCGAACTCGTGTTCTCAGCGAGAACAGTGCGCGTACGGCAAACCTCACGGTAACGTACGCTCCAGCACGATGTCCTCAAACAAACGAGTCGTGCGCTCGTGACTACCCCAGAATAGTGGAAGAGGTGGATTGGGTGCAGTAGCGGGATACCAGTGTCCGCGGTGACACAGGGACAACGTCCGGCTCACCGGATGCCCGAGGCACAACTTTCGAACGCCCCAAATCCGTCTGCTGAACGTGGAGGTGCGAGTTGCGCCGCCAGCGCAGCATGGCAGCATCTGGTTCTGATGACTATCATCACGAACCCGCTCGGATGAGCAACAACAACTGCTTGCTCAGAGAAGAAACGCTCAGCGTTATGCACAGATTACTGCAACCCTTGAACGCCGCTTAATTATGTGTCTACCCCACCCAGTGTGGAGGAACGTCTGGTGTCAAGCGCCGGCCAAACATTGGCAACGTGGGTCAGCTGGGCTATGGGCCTAAGACTCGGAGGAGGTGGTGAGCTGCCAGGCACTTCGTGAGAGGTACCTGAGCCGCACCTAACGACTCAAAGTCACTACAAGGCACACTTGACATGCAGCACGTGGTGCACCAGTTCCACCGATGAAGGGTATACCATTCTCCTGCTCGTAGGCGAAACAGCGAGTGAAGAAGACGATGCCTTTGTTCACTGGGTGCACTATGTGCGTCGCCTCAGCAACATTTTTTGCTTTAAGGGCTAATGCCCATGCGGCGGAGGCGGCCCTGAACGCACGCTTCGGTATGATTATGTGCCAAGCTTAAGGCCAGAGGCCAATTGCGCAAGAGCACGCACACATATGCCCGGCTACTAAGGTAGCCATGCTGGTCAGTCTGTGACCAACAACCTGCCAACCCGCACCACTAGTGGTGGTGAACGGCCTCGGCCTCTGAGATGACCATGGCCACGATGCTCAAAAAAGCCTCCAAAGCATATGGGCAGTCTCTAAGTCGAAGGTACCTCAAATTCCCATGAGTTTTCAGACTCAGGGTACCCACGCCACTCTTACCAGATACTGGTATTGGCCCTGACGACGACGTGTCGTTTCAGCAGTCTCTCGACATGGAATTGACGACACCCAGCGTCTACACGAGCAAAGTCGGTGGCGGCCGGTGTACCGGTGGGAGGCCCACGAGAAATTGGTTCTCAGCGGCCGTTCTCATCCCGGTAAGTCCTAGTGCGGCTGCTGGATGCGATGCAAAGCCGCCTTTCAGGCGATGGAGCAAGCTCAAACTCGAACGAGGCTCAGTTGGACTTGGTTGATTCGTCTACAGCAATCCGGGGCAGTGCCCTTGTCGTCGGCGCAAGTGCCTCCAAGTTCACATGGAAGTGATCCGCATGCGCTTCGGCGTAAGCCTACGTAGAACACTGGATGTGTGCGCAATTTGCGCGGGAGGTTTAGCGTATACGCAAGTCCCTTTTTCTGGCCGTGACCAAACTATTCAATAAAGCGTGGACGCAACTTTGTCTTAAAGACAGCAGACACTACATTTGTAGGGTGTAGACTTTTAGCATTGAGTAAAGTACCTCTTGGTCTCTGACCATAACGTTCAATACACCCCCTGCCTTGGCATCAGCTTGTTGTTTTTGGGTATCTTGGCTATCAGTCATTGCGTCACGCACATGTCTTAAGACATTTAATCGCGTTATGAGAAACTCTCGCTTACCTGTTTTTGAACAGTAGCAGGGGCTGATATCAGAATGTTTATCTACAACCTCTCCCCGACCAAGCCCTGATTCACGTAGTGATAGCGTTAACGGAACGCGAGGGTGAGAGACCGTTTATAGGAACGGAGTAAAGCCTGTTGAGGCATGAAACAGCGTTATTCAACGCAACTCAACAATAGGGAGCATTGAGCTCCAACGCCTAGGCGTATCAGCGCAAACACTGCGCAAAATGTCGTTGATGACGCGATTTTTACACTCTCAGTTTGACTGTCGGTCTGGTGGATGATCCGCTGTGGACATGTCCAACTGAGTGCCAAGCACCTTGAAGATAGACTTCCAAAACTTCCCACAGTGAAGCGGGGGTCTCTATCAGAGATAATTGCCACAGGCAAGCCATGTTGGCGAAAAGAAACAGATCGATAAACAGCTTTGCTGCCACCACTTCCGCATCAATGCTATCCGGCACACAGCCGCTAAAGAGTGAGCCATCTTGCTCAATCGGTCAACAAAGACCACAATACCAGTGTTGCCTTACGAATCTTTCGGTAGGCCAAACACAAAATCCATGCTCATGGACTCCCAACAACCACTGGGTACAGGCAAACTAGCCAGCGGCGCCGCATGTGCCGAGGGTTTTACCCGTTGACACGTTTCGCACGTACGCACATAGGTGCGCACCCACTTATAAAGTTTGGGCCACCAATAACTTTGGCTCACCAAGCTATAAGTCTTCTCACGACCGAGATGACCACTTAAAGCAGTATCATGTGCCTCATAGAGGATTCGATACTTTAATTCCTCATCATGAGGTACAACGATACGAGCATTGTCCTCAATATCCGTGCGATAGCACAACAGGCCATTATCAATGGAATATCGATGTAGCCTCGCACGTAAACGTGCCGACAATTCTATGTCCGAGTCTTTAAACTCATTGCTCCCAAGAGCTCGTAGCAAAGCTTCACACTGATCGTCCTTGGCATATGCCGCACGAATTAAGTCAGGGACTGACGACGACAGGGTCGTAACATGAGCAAGCTAATAGTCAGGTCGACGCGATAGCGCATCAGCCAAAGCGTTTTGCTTACCTGGCTTGTACTTCACCTCGAAGTTATATTCGGCAAAGAAAGAAAGCCAACGAGCCATTCTCTGTGAGAGGTGAGGCGACTGTGTCGCAGTGCGCGATGACGCATGATCGGTATAGATCACAAACGGCTTGGAGCCTAGCAGATGGACTCTGAATTTGACAAGAGCGTACTTCATAGCAAGTAGCTCTTTGTCATGAACAGGATAGTTCTTTTCAGCAGCTTTCAGCTGTCGAGATTCAAATGCGATGACGCGTTCGCGTCCGTCGACATCTGTTTGTAACAGAGCACTGCCTATGGCAAAGTCAGATGCGTCACAGACGACACTGAAAGGCCGACCAGAATCGGGCAAAGCCAATATTGGCGCATGAAGGAGACGCTCCTTAACTGCTTCAAAAGTATAATGTTCGGTGTTACCCCAACACCAACCCACATCCTTTTAAGGAGATTGGACAATGGCCGAGCCATATCTGCGTAATTTGCACTGTATTTATGTAAGTAATTGGCAAGGCCAAGCCACTTACGCAAGTCCTTTTGGTTCTTGGGGACTGGCCGATCGACTATGGCTTTTACCTTAGCGGGATCCGCTCGAAGGCCTCGCTTCCCAATGAAGCACCCTAGAAAGGGAATCTCTTCTGCACCAAAGATGCACTTCGATGCGTTCGCATACAGCTTATTCGTTCGCATGCACTCGAGCACAGCTCGTAAATGATCAATGTGGTTATCCACATCTGATCTCCCATTCATTGCACGACTATGGACAAAAATGTCATCAAAGTACGTTTGTGCATAGCCTCGATGAGGTCTGAATAGTTGCGTTACCAACCGGTTAAATGTAGCCGGGGCGTTAGATACCCCTTGCGGCATAACGAGCCACTCCTAAAGCATACCGCTCGGAGTACTCACCGCTGTTAGCGGAATATCGCTTGCTCGCACGAGCAGTTGGTAATAACCATCGACTAAGTCGAGTGCACTGTACAGTGTACATCCCGTCATATTGTTCTGAAGAACATCCTTTCTAGGAATAGGCGTCTGCGCCGGTATAGTGGCTGCATTAAGCTTATTGTAAGCATGCACAATACGCCACTTGCCATTTGGCTTTTTGACACAAAATGTCGGTGTTGAATGGGGAGATTTACTCTCACGAACCATTCCAGCCGCGTGCTTAGCACGAAAGAAATCGTCAATGACGTCGCACTGTTCTTTAGGCAAAGGCCACTGCCGTGTTACACAGTATTTAGTTACAGGAACCAAGTCAATCTCATGACGTACACCTCTATCTGGAGGTACGGCAGAAGGTGGGTTGTGACACACCACATCTTGAAATCCTTGACTAAAGGATAGAACGGATCCAAAGGATCTTTAAGGATCGAAGATCCACTTCGTGCACTAAGTGCCGCCTTTGTATCCTCTAAAACAGACTCATCCAATAACGAGGAAGAATTCAACTCAGTATCAGGTCTAATGACCGCTAACTCGGATAATTCTCCTGCCTTCAAGGCCTGGCTAAACTCGCCATCAGACATTTCGTCTAGCTCACACAGAGCGTCCACAGATGGAAGGGTTTCGAGGCTCACGTTGCCATTAACCTGACCAGTCACTCCATTAACAAGTGTATATAGTGTATTGCTAATCTCACGATGTGACTGTGAGGACGCCTGGCGCTTTACAGCTGCTACTCGGCGTCTCGATTGTCTCTTCGAGACCTTACTCCCCCTTAGGGGTCGGGACAATATTGTCCCCATGGTTACTACCAACCATGGTACGCTCTACACGAGAGCTTTTGTCTTGACCGACATTAGGTGTGGTGCCCTCACGGCCGTCCACACTATACGGCGTATCGCCAACAGTGTCATTACTGACATTAGGTGTGGTGCCCTTACGGCCGCCCACACTATACGGCGTATCGCCAACAATATCATTACTGACATTAGGTGTGGTGCCCTCACGGCCGCCCACACAATGTGGCGAATCGCCAACAACGCCATTACCGGCGTTAAGCGTGGTGCCTTCACGGCCTCCCACACTAAATGGCATATGGCCAACAATGTCATTACCGACATTCAGTACGGTGCTCTCACGGCCGACCGCACTCGGTGTAATTTCACGTGCCACCATACACACATCAAAGGAATCACGTCCTTGATCACTCGGCCCTAGGCCTACCATGCTTTCAGCATGCAGTGACTCGTTATCACAACGAGTACCACTCAACGGAGTACGTGCCGTTTCACTAGTTTTAGACGAGCTAGGCTCGAAACTTGTGTTTTTAACATTGGAGTTAGATAACTCGGACATTCCAATATCCAGCACATTGACATCTTCTGTCAAAGGCTCGCGCCAATAGCGCTTCTGCTGCCTAGCAAAGGTGGGTTCATGACTCTCCAAAGCTTCGCTAGGAACATTGCGCGTAGCGCCTAAGGTCTTAGACCTCCAATCAATCCATGGCTCATGGCGCTCAAGCCAAGCCATACCTAGGATGAGATCATATCTCGAGTCCAAATCTAGGACAAGACAGCGCTCAATACTGTCAAAGTCTAAAAACTTTATACCTAAGTTCAATGGAACTTTAGGCACCGTTACGCGACTTCCAGTCGCTAAACGAACCGTGATAGAATCACCCTCATGCGCTGTAAGCGCCTCAGCATAACGCTGACTTCCCTCAAGGGAACGGCGTCGAGCATAATTGCAAGACGCTCCAGAATCGATCAATATCGACCAAGGCTTCTCGAAGCCCTTAATTTTCGCCTCAGCGACCAACAAGCCAGACTTGTATCCACGCACCATACCCGTAGGTATGGTACTCTTTGGGGCTAAGCCCTGCATTCCTTTACCTTCTAAAGGTGTAACAGAACATAGTTCTTCCCCAGTAGGGCGCCCCGCGCCTACTGGGTGTCGGCATTTCCCCGTGCCATGTCAGACTTCTGACTCGGGCTCGAGTGTTGGCTCGTAGTCTGGCGTTGCTTACGCAAAGGGCAACCAGGCCGCAAGTGTTTAGTGCTTCCGCACATAAAACATCGTCCTACAACGTGTTTCTGCTCAGCAGCTTGAAGCTCAGCTTCCCCTCCATCTTCAGCATAGCTGAGATCCATCGGTTCCGGCCTATTATAGGCAGTGGTACCCGAATAGTTTGCTCTCACAGAGCGAGGATTGTATCCGTTCCAACCAAGTCCGGCCGACTTGAAGTCATGCTCAGCATTAAGGGCAGTTCTCACAGCCTCTTCAAACGTAGAGGGGTGAACCCGAAAAACTTCGGTCCTGGCAATGCCAGTACGTAGACCTTTCATGAAGATAGTCACATGGACTGCTTCAGGCAAAGGGTCAGACTGCATTGCAGCCATGAGCGTTCGCAGCTCTTGGAAATAGTCCGATAATTCATTCTTACCCTGGCGGGTAGAAAGAAAGCGTGAGCGCACGCGGTAAGCCTGGTTAGGTGGAGAAAACACCTGTACCAATTGTAACTTGAGCGACCCCCATGTGGGAAACGCTATGTCCACCGACGTGCTACACGTCAAGGCCCATTCTCTAGCTCTACCATCGAGCTTCGAGATAGCCAGCGAGACCTGTTGATGGTCAAGCGTGATCAGGCCTGATCTCATGGCCATCTCGATCTCACGGATCCAGAGGATGAGGTTCTCGCCCTCCTTACCGGAGTAGTTTTTTACTTCCACTCTAAGTGGACGAGGCTTAGCCTCTTCGTCTGGTACAGACACGTAGCGTGTAGGCATAGCCGACGCTATTTGGTCTTGGACCTGCCCTAAAAGGGTCGCTTCATACTGCATGAAGCTTTCAACACGTGCATTAAGCACTTCAGGACCTTGTGAAACAAGGAACTCCACGTACTCTGGACCCAAAGATGCGGTCAGCTTATCAAGCGCGACCTTTTGGGCCTCAGATAGGGGAGTGATGTTTTCCATCCTCACAGAGGATCAGTCTTAAAGACTCAGGCGTAGATTGACTACGAGTGCTACCAAGTGTAGCGGAGCTACACAGCTCCTTAAGTCAGAGGAAGACTTAACGCTCTACGAGCAACTTAGTTAAAAAAAATAACGACTTTACGAGTCAACAAGCTTTATAGCTTCAGATCCCTGTTCCAGGGGACCTAACGATTCAGTGAATCGACAGCACTTAGTGCTCAAGAGTAGCTACCTCAAGGAGGTGTCGCTAACTCTTAGTGATCAGAGATCAACGATCAAGACGGCTCGCAAGCCACGTGTCTTTCAGATCAAAATGGGAACTGATTTTATTTTTGTTAAAGCCTATAGAATATCTTAATCCTACTCAAAGATCTTTCGTATCTAATGGATGACACTCGTCAGCCCCTACAAACCGATAAGATATTCTATATCACCTTCACAGAAGCGAACCCTCAGGTGTGTAACACCTCTGGTACAAAGTACCATGATTTCGTGCAACCCTGTTACAGAACAGGTGAGTCTTGACGGGACCATCCGCAAGACCCTGCATGAACACCGAAACCAACGTGTGTTCATCTACCGGATTGGAGCTTATACAACTCGTAAGATGTCGTATATGTTGCGCGTAAGCGTGCACATCACGCTTACCTTGTTTGAGCTTCAAGAGTTTAGTTCGAGCTCTGAACTCAGCTCCAGGCGGTTCAAACGTTTTTCTGAGCCGCGACTTGAAGACTTCTAACGACCCAAACGCATATGGGTCGTGCAACTTGAGTCCCAGTGCCCAAGTCTTGGCACGTCCTGCCAGATTTGACTGGGCAAATGCAACTTGCATATCCCCGTCGTCGATGCGACGCGCCCTTATGGCGTCATCTAACTCGACGAACCATCTCAAGAGGGAGTCCTCTTCGACTCCTCTATACTTGGAGATGTCAATCTTCAAGGTCTCGGGTCGACGCGAGTGCATCGACTCACCAGCAGCAGCCTGCTGCTGTCTCAACAGATCAAACTGTTGAGCACCCTGTTCTCTTATCAACTCTGCTTGTTGAGAACCTTGTTGGTGGAGCAAGGCTACTTTCTCGCGTTCAGCGCCAAGTTCATTTTGAATGAACTTGGCGATAGTAGCATGTTGGGCATCTCTATTGAGAGCCTCTAGCATGACGCTAATAGCATGGATGCCCATGGTTGAACCCATCCGTTCAACCGCATCCCATTCAACATCGCTCAAATGAGAGTAGCCGTCACGCGTAGCGTGAAAGCTTTGGTCATCTTCATCATCCAACATATTCATGTTGGATGTGAACGTGGTCCTTGGACGGACTACGAAGTGCTACCAGGTGTAACGGGGCACCCTGAAGCTTGTACTGATGACAGTACAAGCTACTTATTCTGATGACAGAATAAGGCGGTGCCTCGGAACTTTACTTACACTCGTACGTGCAGAGGAAGACGGTAAGAAGAAGCGAGTACTTGGTTAAAGTAAAAAGTAGAACCGTATTAAAATAGCTAATGTCTGCAATAAACCACTATTCATCCTCATCTAACTATGTCTGAATACAAATGTGTAAATCAACAATCTGCTCACCACTCATTGCGTGCGTCTGTCGTGGCGCGTCTTCGTTAGTTGATATAATGGCCTATATCAACCAATTAGGAACTACTCGTAAGTGCTCCAGAATATTTGTCCTCATGACAATATTCTGAGAATAGAACGCTTATAGTTATATTCTATGAACAATTTCTTATAAATTGTTATGTAACGATTCACCTCGTTACAGCATTCGCCAGCTATATAGCGCTTCTTTATAAACGCGATTGTCACAGGTCCACTTATAGAAGAAATATAAGGTGATGTAAACTAAATCATTAGTAAGCTGGTGCTGATTCTGAGACAGGTGCTGATGATGAGACTTTTGGCCAACGGTGCTGATAGTGAGATTTACTGAGCTAAGATCTCTCCTGTCTAATGGCTGAAATTGGTCAGCCCCTATAAGCCGATAAGATATTCTATACTTCTTTTAGTGGGAAATCATCCGTGTGTCTGACACACAGGGTACCAAGTATCCAACTACGAGTAACTGTTTTACAGAGTAGAACAGAGGTACACATGTGTAGCTGATCGGTGAAAGTCCCATCCACATAAACGGAAGCAGTACGAGCAGACGCAAGAGCAGAGACGAACAGGCAGAGATGCAGTAGAACAGAGGTATACAAATGTAGCTGATCGGTGAAAGTCCCACTCACATAAACAGAAGCAGTACGAGCAGAAGCACGAGCAAAGAAAAACAGGCAGAGATGCAGTAGAACAGAGGTATACATTTGTAGCTGATCGGTGAAAGTCCCACCCACATAAACGGAAGCAGTACGACCAGAAGCACGAGCAGAGACGGACAGGCAGAGATGCAGTAGAACAGAGGTATACAAATGTAGCTGATTGGTGAAAGTTCCACCACAAAAACGGAAGCAGTACGACCAGAAGCACGAGCAAAGAAAAACAGGCAGAGACGTGGTAGAACTGAGGTGCACACCGGCAGCTTTCGAATGAAGCAGAGAAAAAGGTCTGGCCGTGCTGAATAGGCTGGAGGAAGGAACCGCCCACACGCTTTGACAAAACGCAGACTTGATTGTGGAAAACAACGAAGAGTAAGCGAGACCCGAACGGTGGCGACATTCCGTGGCTATGCCAGGAATGCAAGACCGACTTCACAGAACGATGATGACGGAGATCTGTTGCAAGAATAACATGCAGGCCTGTTATGTCCGGACCCGGATATCTGATCGGTGACAGTTTTACCACATAAACGGAAGCAGTAGGGGCAGAAGCACGAGCAGAGACGAACAGGCAGAGATGCAGTAGAACAGAGGTATACATTTGTAGCTGATCGGTGAAAGTCCCACCCACATAAACGGAAGCAGAAGCACGAGCAGAAGCACGAGCAAAGAAGAACAGGCAGAGACGTAGTATCACAGAGGTTTGCATCACGTAAGTTGCAGCTGCAGCCCTGAAAGGTGAGACACATGGCAGTAATTTGAAATAACGAGCGAATATAAGAAGGACAACGCAAATTCAGATTTTCGGAGGAATACTCGAATAAGGGACCTTTCGTGCATTTGTATACGACATACATTGTCTGTATTGAATTCCGGCCCTGCGGCCACAGCAAGTAGCAATCAAATATTTCTTCAGCTTTAACAGGTACGGCACATCCGATTGGCACGAGGGGCCAGCTCACGCAATGCCAGCCGTTTCGTTTT